ATTATTATTAAAGACTGCATCATTTGTCAAACTCTATTACCTAGGATGCTAAGTGATCAAAATTAATCCTCCCAGGCTTTACTTTTATAAAATAAAATTGAATTTATTTCCATTTTCTCAGTGAAATTGAAATAATTGTGCCAAATAGAATGCAAAATTAATTCAAAACCTCAAGTAAAATGTTTCATGGAAGGTGTGAAGGAAATAAAATGGTAAAAATACAATAGAAAAGCAAAAAGATATTATTATATTTGGGTTGTTCTCTCACAAATACAGTATTATTGTTGTTGCTGTTATTTGCTGCCACTCATTTTTATCTAAACCTACTAAAGAGCATTTACTATCATGCAACAATGAAAATAATGAAAATGTAACCAAATCACAACCAAGAAGCCCAAGTTCACCAACCAGCTGCATGACTTTGACAAGCACCTTACCACTCTGGGTCTGTTTCTTCCCCTCGCTTCCTTTCTAAAATTCTAAGTTTCCTACTTAAATATCCTGTGACACTGAACTCAGACGTCCAAGCAGAAGAGTCAATGCCTTAAATGACTCAGCAACTTGCGTGCAGGAAAGATGCTGAGTGACAAGATTCAGCAACTCTTTTCACTTCTGTTTCGTAAAATGAAAACTTCATTATTTTTTTCTCCAACAAGAGCTTCATAAGAAATCAGAATATTAACAAATGTTAATTCTTGTTCTGAGTCTTTTCTGGCAAAAAAAAAAAAAAAAGAAAAAAGAAAAAAGAAAAAAAAGTTAATTTAATAGGATTGTTAGGGGAAAGTGTTCCATATTTATAAGAAACTTATCACCATTTCTATTTTAACACCAGAGCAATGGATTTGTTATCTAGTCACAAACACTAAAAATTACATCGTTTGCAACAATTTAACCCTTTGATTTTAAAATATTTTGTTAATTAAAACATATGCAAAGGGGCATATAGTTTTTCAAAATTACTTCGGGGAGCGTACCAGAAAAAAAAAAATTGAAGACTGCTGTTTCGAAGAGTCTTGTTCAGTGCTTTATTCCTAATGCCAAGCATAATGCCAGGTACATGGTAAGCCCTTAATAAATGTATTAAAATAAAACTAGTAGAGTTTCTGATGTGTCTGAATGACTTGAGAGATGTTAACAATGACAGACAGTTCGCGGTTGAATTAATAATTAGTATATCACATAGTCAGGTACAGTGGTATGCACCTGTGGTTTCCGTTACTTGGGAGGCTGAGGTGGGAGGATCCCTTGAGTCCAGGAGTTCAAGGCAAGTTGGGCAACATAGTGAAAGCCTCATCTCTAAATTAAAAATAAGAATGAGTCTATAGAGTAGAAAATTAAGCATATAAAAAAATAAGACATTTACTTATGAAGGAACAGAAAGTAGTGTAGGCACATAAAAGTAGTAATACTCAACAAATTATATAATTTTCAAAAAATAAGAATATGCATGGTATATTGTAAAAGTGTTGAGAAAAATACAATAATAAGGCATTTTAGGATATAATGAAAATATGGTTAATTTAGATTTTGTAGGGTATGATTCCAAAAAATGCTTCTCCTTCAAGTAGTTACACCTGTGGATACAATGTCCATCACCATAACTTCGACTCCTGAGCAAAATGAGAGAGATCGTAAGTGAAATCCCTAGTAGGTGTATCAATCAGGGCCCCAACAGGAAGCAAGTGGCATACTCCAGGAAGGTTGAGTAAAGGGACTGTTGATACGATATAGGCAGATATGGGAAAACCGCAAAGAAGCGGGACATGCTGGGGCTAGTCACAGCAGATGTTACAACCCTGAGGTTTAAAGGAGCAAGAGGAGAGAGTGTGGAAAGGGTCACCTTGAGAGGAGTTACGATCTTTGCTTGAGATCATGCAGCCAGCCCAAGCCAACTCTGTAGGCAGGAAGCAGGGGAATGTGGGACTGGACCTTACTGTGTTCTTCCTTCTGACCTCCTGCAGGGGCTCCCCATTGGACAAAACCAACCAGAAACCAGAGGGCAAGTGAGCCTGTTAAAGTAAGTACACAAGTCTGCCTCCAAGGCAGGCAACTTTGGTCCAGAAAGCAGCATAGAGGCAAGAGCGGGAGGGTGGAAATGCAAGCTATTTGGCACCATGAACATGGCACGTACTAGTCCATATAATGTCTTTTATCCCACTTTTTTTTTTTTACTGTTAATTATCACATTAAAAAAAAAATACCTTGGCCTGGCATAGTGGCTCATGCCTGTAATACCAGCATTTTATTTTGCAGGGCCAAGGGAGGAGGACTGCTTGAAGCCAGGAGTTTGAGACCATCCTGGGCAACATAGTGAGACTTTCCATCGTCATGGAAAATTGTCCACTTTAATTTGCTTCAGATATAATGAAGCCTAATAATAATAATAATAAGTCAAACTTCCTCAAAAACATTGCAATGAAGCATGCTTTGGGCACATTCTGATCAGATTTGGAAATAAAGAAAAATACTTATAAAGATAATTAATTCATTGCCTTTTGAATGTGACTACCGGCAGAGAAGACAACATAGCATAAAGGAGCATGGACAAGAGAAGCTTTTGAAATGCATTTGAAGGACTTGAATTAAATATCATTTGGGAAGGAAAAGAAGATTTGGTTTTGCAATTGGATTGAATGGATGGAAGAAATCCTCATCATATGAAATAGGTAATGCTACCAACATTACCTGCAATAGGATAGCTTCACTACTTCCTGATCCTGAAACACAACAGAAATCTGATCCTAGCTTTGTAAATATAAGATCTTTACCACAAGTAGGTTACCATTCATAGACACCACTCAACACTCAGTGCCAGGCACCATTCTAGGAGCCATTGATACCATAACCAATAAGATAGACACTGTCAAAGCCCTGGTATAAGCTTTGTTCAGACAAATCCTATGCAGAAATTCACTATATTCACATAAAAGATAGAAAGTGAATAATGATAGGCTGGGCATGGTGGCTCATGCCTGTAATCCCAGCACTTTGGGAGGCCAAGGTGGGCAGATCACCTGAGGTCAGGAGTTTCAGATCCACCTGACCAACGTGGAAAAACCCTGTCTCTACTAAAAATACAAAATTAGCTGGGCATGGTGGCGCATGCCTGTAATCCCAGTTACGCAGGAGGCTGAGGCAGGAGGATTGCTTGAACCCGGGAGACAGAGGTTGCGGTGAGCCGAGATTGCACCATTGCATTCCAGCGTGGGCAACAAGACCGAAAGTCTGTGGAAGGAAGGATGGAAGGAAGGAAGGAAGGAAGGAAGGAAGGAAGGAAGGAAGGAAGGAAGGAAGGAAGGAAGGAAAAGAAAGGAAGAAAGGAAGAAAGAAAGAGAATAATGATAAAAGTCGAGCTAGTGCTACTATGGTTTAATTAGTTTCATGGAGCCTGGAGCCCTCCTGGCTTCCCCATTCCTTCTGCCCTTTGGACCTAGTACAGCAGTATGAAATCACTGAGATGAGCTTCCCATGATATATCCTCCTCAGGGTTACGGAATCTCAGTGTCTCCTGGAAGGACTAGGCTCAAATAATCTCAGAAAAATGTTTGCCTATAATTCTCATTTAAAGCTTTTAGAGAATTATTTATGTCACTAAGCTTTGGAATACTTTAGCTTTATCATTCATCCATTCAATCATTGAGTGCCTTCTATATGTAAACACTAAGAACGCAGTGGTGAAAAAGACAAGAGTCCCTGCCCTTTTGTAATGACCATGCTGGCCGGGAATATAGACTTTAGACATGTAATAGCACAATTAGTTATTTAATTGCTGTTGTGATGAGTGCTAGGAAGAGAAAGTACAGGATTTTTTGCCGGTGGGGCTGTGAAAACTTTCCTGAGGAGATGGCATTTGTGCTTTACTGGTTGATTAGTAGAAATTAATTAGTCCAGAGATTGCAAACTCAAATTCCTTTAAGAGATCAGGCAGGTAACAAAAATGTGTGCATCTGGCAGGGGTAAGACAACAAGAAATATGAGAACAAAAGGCCCACTGGAGGGAGTCTACTGGCTTTAAGGCATTCAAATTCAAACTTCAGTCATCTCTTGGCTGGCCAAACAAAAGAAGTGTGCAGCCAAAGACAGCAGAAGGGCTGGCAGTCTGCTGCGATGATTCAGGCAGGAGGACAGCAGGAGCAATGGCCCTGAGGCAGGAAGAAGACCATCTGTTTTGATGAATTAAGAGAGCAACTGCAGGTGAAGTTCTGGAGCCCTCAGGAGAGAGTGGCTTCCACAGGCAGGTGAGGGGAGAGGAGCCATGTCACTCAAGGCCTCCAGGGCAGGTAAGAACTTTAGTCTTTATCTCAAGTCCCCTTGGATGCACTGAAGGGTTTTAAGCGAAAAAGTGAATTAATTAGGCTGGCATTTTTGAAAGCTCACTGAGCAGCAATGTTGGAAAAGTTGGAAGCAAATAAATCGATTAGGAAGTTGTGATGGCTCCTCCTCTCTTCTTCAGTTTTTCACCTACATTATCTACATAACTGTGTTTGTCTTGATGCAGTCTCAACCCTGTATTTCTCATTCCAGAAAACCAAGCTGAATATTTTCCTCTTAGTTCCTGACTCTAAGGAAGGAAGTAGAGTCCGGAGGTCTGTGGCCTGCAATGAAAAGAAGTGAAATGCAAACTCAGTACCCCATACACAGAACCTTCTATCTCCTGGCTACTATTAAGTGCTGCAGTGTTAGCGATGATCATGTAAATCGTAAGTATTATGGGAGCACCGAGAATAGTTCCCAACCTGCTGGAGGTGGGAAGTCAGGTAAGGCTTCACCTACAAACCTAAAAACTTGTGGACTTTATCATTTGGTTTAGCATTTTAAAAACCAATTCCTGCTTTGAATAAGTCTTAATTAGCTGTGTGTGGTGGCGTGTGAGTTTGTAGACCCAGCTATTCAGGAGGCAGAGGCAGGAGAGTCACTTGAGCCCGGGAGGTGGAGGTTGCAGTGAGCCAAGATCGGGCCACTGCACTTCAGCCTGGGTAACAGAGTGAGACTCCATCTAAAAAAACAAGTAAAATAAAATATTCTTATTGTTTAGAGATTATCTTGTTTAGACTTTTATCAATTAACATAAATGTATACAATTATATTACTTGTGTGTATAAAAAACTTACATGGTTAGCATGTCCACTCTCCTGGGAGCATCATACTTGTTTCTTCAAGAACTAAAGAAAGGGGAAGTGCTGCCCCAGAGGCTGACTGTGAGTCAGCAAGTCTCCCTGATGGTTACATAAACATGAAACTTGAAGTTAGGAAAAAATTGAGTAAGCTAGACACATTTGCTTCTCCTTTTAAAAATGGAAATGGCAAGCTCTTGCCACTTTCATATGCAGCCGGACATGGTGCATTTGTGTTTCTGAGGTTATTGTACAAGACGAAATGGGTGAGTGATTTGAAGTTAAAATTAGCTTATTTTTTGTCAACTTATTTATTCATTGGTATATTTAGGCTCAAAATGAATTTCTTCCCTTTTTTTGTCTCCCTATGACTTTGTATAAAACAGGTTCATATGACATTAATCCTACAAATAAACCATTTGGATTAGAAGTCATTTCCTTCATGAAAATTACCTTCCTTGACATAGTAATCATTACTTTTTATGGCGTCTCTAAATCTAGATTCAAAATTCTCTAGCCTGGAAATAGGATTTCATTTTAGAGCTATTTTGTCCTTGATTATTGACACAGAATCTTGTGGGGTTGAGCAAGGCAGAGGCTGTGTGCTGCAATCTCTGTTGAGGAGGGAGACTCCCAGTGCTCTGCATAGTGAACTGGTCACATAGAAGTTTCTTTAGCACAGGAATGTGCATCCATGTTCCCCTGAAGAGCAAAGTACAGTGGTAGAATGGTGGATCAGTACAGAAGTCCGTCAAAAAAGATAGGTACCGTCATGCTGACTGATTCTTTTTCACAATGTTGCTGTGATGCCTCAGACACAAGCCCAAGCATCTACCAAGCTGCTTCTTCCCTCCAAGTGACAAAAAGAAAAGAAAATGACAGTTATCATCAGCCCACTTTTTACCCTGATCTATGCGGTCCTTAGCAACCAGAGTATCTACACTGAGGCACGTTGCAGTGGTTGTCATAACTTTGAAGAAAACAAATCTTCAAAGATCTTTTTTATCTTTTCCAGGAAGATGTGTCAATCCTTTGATGGTAAAAAAGCATTAAAATCCAAAATTGAGAGGCAAAATATATCATATCCCACTAAAAACTCCTTGAGCCAGATAACTGCCAGCATGTACAGTTAGAAGGGTAATAATAGCTAGCGACTGCTGTGTGGAATGTGTTAAGACTTCTAAATATATTATTTCATTTAATTTTTGCAACTATAAATAGTAAAAAATAAGGGGACTGATGTTAAACATGTTAGTTTTGCCTGCACTGAAAGCTTAAAAGAATTTATAATGAGATATGGGACTTAGTAAAGTATCTATCGTATAAAAAGCATTCGATGTATTCATTTATTCAGAAAAGTATTTGTAAATGAATATCTTAAAGGTGTCCTTCAACTGACATTTCTTCTGATATGGCTAGTGAATTGCCTCTAAAGCAAAAAGTAATTGTAGAGAAGTACTAAGTAAGATAAGAGTTCTCCTTCCTAGCTCTTGCAAGCCTATACATTGAATTTGACAAACACATTGTTCCAAAAGTAAGCCACGGGAACTGGGCATCATGGCATATGCCTATAATCTCAGCTACTCAAGAGGCTGAGGTGGAACGATCCCTTGAGCCCAGGAGTTCGAGGCTGCAGTGAGCCATGATCATGCCACTGCACTCCAGCCTGAGTGAAAGAACCAGACCCTGTCTCTAAAACAAAACAAAACAAAACAAAATAAAACAAAACAAAATAAAACAAAAGTAAGCCATGGGAGACAGATGTGGTAGAATAGGAAAAATTGAAATACTACCTTTGAAGCCTACACTTACCTTCTACTCATGAGTCCAAGCCAGCAGCTGGGCATTTGGGTACAGGAGAGAGGGACAAGAATACTTCCCGCTATAAGAACAAAATGGAATGTTAGAGTCATAGTCCAGTGGGCAGAGCTTCAGGCACTCAGACAGTGGATGTGGGTGTACGGCCTTTCAGAATGTGGCTCACGGCAGCCAGGGGTTAGCGGCTCACCACAGGCACAGCAGGTCTAACCTAGGGAAGGCCAAGGCTGTCAAGGTATTCCCTGCCCTAAAAAGACTTCCCTCAATGTTTCTCTGAACCTAGGCATCTAAACTGGTAAAGTTCAGACTCCTTAGCTTGACACTGCAGTACTCTTGGGATCTTGTTAAAATGGTGTTGTGAGTTGAATAGTGTGCCCCCAAATGTCATGCCTACCCGGAACCTTAGAATGTAACCTTATTTGGAAAACAGGTTTTTGCAGATGTAATTAGTTAAGATGATGTCATCCTGGTTTAGGGTGGGCCCTACGTTCGATTTCACTGGCGTCCTTAGAAAAAGAAGAAAGGACACACCGAGGTACACAGTTGTACAGGGAGGAAGGCCCTGCAAAGACAAAGGTGAAGACTGAAGTGATGTAGCCACGAGCCAAGGAGTGCCAAGGATTGTCAGGAGCCACCAGAAGCTGTTGGAGGAGATCAGGGTAGATTCCTCTCTAGAGCCCTCACAGGGAGCAAGGCCCTGACCAACGCCTTGATACCAGGCTTTCAGCCTTCCAGCACCGTAATAGAATACATTTCTGTTATTTTCAGCCACTTTGTTAAAACAGCCCTAGGGAACTAATACAACTGGTGAAATTCAAACTGGTGTCACTCCTGAGTGACACCAAAGAACTCTCAGGATCTCGCTCTAGAACTTACTTCTCACAGCTCCACATCACAGCCAAACAGCCTTTTTAAGGATCCAGATTCCTTATCTTGTCAATCGGTTTAAAAAAATTCGTTAAAAAAAGGTCCAGAAAGTGCTCAGCGCTTTCCCACGGGCACTATCCCACCATCTGGAGTGCCCCATCTCCACTCACCCATCACTACATGTCCAAAGCTCCCTCCTTCTGAGCCCGGTGCAGAAGGCATCCCACAGGACATGATCTGATCCCCCAAATCAGACATCATCTTACTGTCTTCAGAAACCTCGCAGCACTATCTTTGTATTTCACATTGCCAATTTCTACTTTGAATCAGTCATGTGTGTCTGTAGCTTAATCTGGGAGAGTGATCAGATCTTATACATTTTTATATTGACCACAATACCAGCGATCAGTGCCTTAAATGAAGTTGTTACCTAGTACATGCTATTGCGGTGATCAATGTCTATTTCGCTGTTTGCCTGTTCCTTGAGAATGAATAAGTAACCGTAATCTAATTGTTTACATATATATATATATCAGTTTATTAGGGAAGAATGGCAAAAGTGGAGAAAGCAGACTTTTATACTACAAAATCTAAATGGAAATACACACAGACACAAAGACACACACAGACACACACACACACACCCCCCAAATACACAGTACATGTGTTTAAATTGATATAAAATATGTCCCTAAATAATATGGCTCTTACTAAAAGGTAACAATACATCGATTTATTATTAACGACAGTACTGCTTTTTTGAAAATCTCAAAGGAATGAGAGGAACGAGGTGAATAGAAGGTCTGAAGACAGTAATTTCAGACTCCCACTGGAGTGGGCGTGCTGAGAGGCAAGGCAGCCTGATTCCCTCCTGCAGTGGAAACGTATCCATATTACCCTATCATGAAATTCATTGCGGCATGGCTTCAATCACTCCTGCTCTACTGAGAGCAGTGGAGTGAGAGATCACCAGGAGCCTGCTGCCTACCTCACCCCTGTCCTGGGGCCTCCACGGGAGCCACAGAGGTACTACCTCCCTCTCTCCCATGGGCATTTCCTTGCTGGCACAGTCTGCCCTGCCACACTTCTACTTTCTTTCTTTTCTTTTTTTTCTTTTTTTTTTTTTGAGATGGAGTCTCGTTCTGTCACCCAGGCTGGAGGTCAGTGGCGTGATCTCAGCTCACTGCAACCTCTGCCTCCCGGGTTCAAGCAATTCTCCTGCCTCAGCCTCCCAAGTAGCTGGGACTACAGGTGCACGCCACCACACTCGGCTAATTTTTTTTGTATTTTAGTAGAGAAAAGGTTTCACCATGTTGCCCAGGCTGGTCTTGAACTCCTGAGCTCAGGCAATCCACCCGCCTCTGCCTCCCAAAGTGCTGGGATTACAGGCGTGAGCCACCACACCCGGCCTGCACTTGTTTTCAATGGAGAGAAACATCAAGGCAAAGGGACATTCAGATATAAGTCAGGAGAAACTCACTGCATCATCAGCCCAGCTAATCGTCATGTCTAACTAGTAGGCTCAATTTACCTGGTTTCTGTGATCCAAATAAAGTTCCCTTTATGATTGTGCAAGATGGATTTTCATTCTGGAAATGACAATTTAGTTGTTGCGGGATGTGTTGTCAAAGTCCACCAGCTTTTGCCCTTGGGAGTGTTGGATGCACTTGAGAAGCTATGTCCTATAGCACAGGTAATGAAGGCTCCTGTAGTTACTCAGAAAACAGAGCAAACCCTGCTGCTAGGGAGAGGACTAGGGCAGTGTGAGAGCTTTAAAAGCCCCCTCAGGTCCTCTTATTCTACGACTCAACCAACCAATGAAAAAGATTGCCTTCGGAGGGACCTGGGTTAGTTGACCCTGGCTGACGCATAAGCTCGTTTTTACCCTGGCTGATGTAGAAGGCTCTGAAGGAGAAACGAACAGACCTTCATTGCTTCGTACAAGGAAAATTTTGCCTATTGCCTAAAGGCCAGAAAGTCAAAGCATACATGGGAACACAGATAATTTAAATGAGATAATCTAAAGTATAAGTCTAATTAAATTAAATAAACCCAATCCCACGCACTTTCATTCTAAAACTCTGTATCCATTAAATCCAATTACTTCCCCCTGTGGCTTTGGCTTTAAATGGATGTTAGCAATGATCACATTGGATTCCTGCTCTCTGCCAACCTCCAACAGCTTTTATGGCAAAGGTGCAGTTATTAAGTGATTGCAGCTGCCAAATGCAAGTGCCCCGGTTCCACAGGACAAGGTACAGGGGCAGGCTATAGATAAGGACACCACCTAAATGAATGCCTTTTAAAATAGAGTGCCTTTGTTCTTTTTGCACTCTTATTCCCCTTGTCCCTCACCCTCCAGAAAAGATATATTCCTTGAGCTCTCCAAGAAGATCACAACTTTCTCTCATAAATTATTTACATTTATCCTCCACCAACATCAGAATCTAGCAATCGAATTCACACACTCATTAGGTGAAATTGAAGAGAGAGAGAGCAGTTATTAGGCAGAAAGTTCTCACTACAGCTCTCCTCGCAGCTGAAGGTGTTCAATGAACTTGCCCTCCATCAAATGGAACCTGGTAGAATCATTATCCGAGGCACTCACTGCCCACAAAAGCCAAACCAGTCTCACCCTTGCTTGCTCTCGCTCTCATGAAAGTTATTAGCTTAGCCGGGTGTGGTGGCAGGTGCCTGTAATCCCAGCTACTCTGGAGGCTGAGGTAGGATAATTGCTTGAACCCAGGAGGCAGAGGTTGCAGTGAGCCGAGACTGCCCCACTGCACTCCAGCCTGGACAACAGAGTGAGACTCTGTCTCAAAAACAAACAAACAAACAAAAAAAAAAAAATGAGAGAGAGAGAGAGAGTTATTAGTTTTATCAAGTTATTAGCTTTATTTTATTAAAAGATTTAAACATATGTGGCAAGACAGAGGTTTCATAACTTCAACTGGTTCTGTGGGCATAGATTTGCTGCAGAGTGAAGTCCCCCAAATCAATTAAATGTAACCCAACTGCAAAGATATCACAGCTGATGTTGTTACACTTGTTGGATTTCATGGAGGCTAAATCCTGTAAAGCTTTGAGGTTAGAAATTTTATGAACAAATTGCTTTCTCTAAACAATTTTACTGACTGAATTTCCTGTTGAATTCTGCTAGTGAACAATATGAATACATAAATTTGGGGGCTGGGTGCGGTGGTTGATGCCTGTAATCCCAGCACTTTGGAAGGCCGAGGTGGTCAGGAGTTCGAGACCACCCTGGGCAACATGGAGAAACCCCATCTCTACTAAAAATGCAAAAATTAGCCAGGCATGGTGATAGGCACCTGTATTCCCAGCTACTCAGGAGGCTGAGGCAGGAGAATCACTTGAACCTGGGAGGTGTAAATCACAGTGAGCCAAGATCACACCACTGCACTCCAGGCTGGGCAACAGAGCTAGACTTTGTCTCAAAAAAAAAAAAAAGAGTGTGTGTGTGGGGATTGTTATTACTGTGTCACCATAGTGTGATGGAAAAATCTGGAATTTTACTCAAGTCACCTAAGTTGTGGAATATAGTCAAATCTCCCAAAAATCTCAAGACAAGAATAATGCCTGCACAAGCTATTCACCTAATAGGATACTGTCAAATCAAATAGTTTTGTTTATTGATGGTGGTGGATGGTTTTGATAGAATTGGCCTTAATAAGTCTTACATCATAAAGCAAGCGGTGGTTCTCACCTTTGGCTACACTTTGAATCACCTGGGAGATTTGAAAAATATGATGCTCTCACCCCACCCCAGACTGATTAATTTGAACTCTCTCTAGGGGTGGGGTCTGGGGGTTGGAATTTCTCAAAGGTCCCAAGATGACTATAATATTCAGCCTGAGTTAAAAACTACCAGTCTGTAGCCTGAAATGCAAATTTAAGAGGGATTATATGTGAAAAACAGGAAAAAAAGCATAATTAACTGAACTGACCTCTATCTTAGGTACTTCAAATAAATTCCTAGATATCCAAGTCCCCAAATCAATATTTTTGGGAACAAAAAGAGAGCAAATGCATGTTATTTGTCCAGACTACACGGTGGCAGAGTAAACTCTTTATAGAGCTAAGTGAGGCCTTCTATTTCAAGAAGACAATAGGCATTCCTTTATTCAGTTTCCTCCTTCCAATGTTTGTTAGAGCTCAATTGATCAGTGGGAATTAGCAGACTCTGGTGAAGTGGTTAAGACCATCCCTTGACTTGAGATGGCTCCACTTGGAGAAGCTCCACCATTTTGGGCAAGGTCATAGTTACAAATGCTTCCAAGAAAGGGTTAAATAGCATCCACAGGATTTAGCTGAGGAGTTGCCGTTATTTCATATTTTAAGAGAACTCCTTTTCAAATTAATCTTATTAATCACTACAGTTATAAAAGTTGATTTTGAGAAACGATAAGACAACTAAAAGTTTAAGTAACATTATTGATGTATGTGTAACATCTCATTGTAATAGTATAGTCAGCCCTCCGTATCCAGAAGTTTGGCATCCAAAGATTCAACCAACGACGGATCAAAATTATTTTAAAATCAATAACAACAACAATAAAAAGTAACAATACAACAAAAAATACAAATAAAAAATATGAAAACTATTTTCATAGCACTTACATTATATTAGGTATAATCTAGAGACTATTTAAAGTGTATGGGAGGGTGGTGTATGTATATGCAAAAACTATGTCATTTTATACACGGGACTTGAGTATCTGCAGATTTTGGTTTGGGAGGGGGCCATAGAACCAATTTTCTCACTGATACTAAGGGACTACTGTATTTTCTTGAGCAACTCCAACTTTACTGTATGGCACTCTCAGATAGAGAATAGTCCCTATTCAGGCCCAAACTCCAAAAGGCATTGACTATCTAACTCTAGGGTGCATCAGAATCACCTGTGGAATTTGACGCTGCATTTTAGAGGCGTACCCCAGGTATCCTTGATGGAGTAGACAGTCCTCAGATTCCTCTTTTAGAAACCCATAAAGGAACTTTCGGCATTTTGAGCACAAGGGCAATGACTATAGTATCAGTTACCTCTGTAAATGATCTCCTAAAAATGAATAGAATTATTTGTCAGGAATGTATTATTAATATTAATAACATGGTCAGGTGCAGTGGCTCACACCTGTAATCCCAGCACTTTGGGAGGCCAAGGTGGGTAGATCACCTGAGGTCAGGAGTTTGAGACCAGCCTGACCAACTTGGTGAAACCCCATCTATACTAAAATAGTAATAACAATAATAATAATGTTTCTGAGGTATCATAGCCCAGTTTAGGAAAACCATTATCTTCAACCAAGGAATGCCTACAAGGCCCTTCCTTCATTACTATAAGTTCATTTCTGTGTTGTCCATCTCCCCATCAATCCCCCAATCAATCATTCCATGTCTGCCTCCTTTGGCTATTGGATAAGAAATTTTAACAATATGCGGTATCATTAGAGTTTTCCTTTAACTGTTTCATTAACTCATATATAAGTCACAAACATATTGTTAGACATTTTATAATTTGCATTCAAAAATCCATGTCTACATACATAGTCGTTTTATGGAGTTTTGTTTTGTTTTTTTTAATTATTATCATGGTTGCCTTGAATTGTTGCTTTTGTGGAGCCAAGTAGAGTGTACTTTCTGATGGCTTGAACATACGGACACTAATACAAATGTTTGTGCATTGATTGCTTGTCAAGTTAGAGATTTGACTAAATATTTCATCTGATATCTGAAGGGACTCTATAGACCAGGAACTGCAGAAGTTCAGCACCTGATTGTAGAAAAGATCAGGAGGTGAAGAAAAGTTCATGGTGATAAAGAAAGAAGTTACTTGTGAAGTTGAGAGACCTAAACAGGATGCTAAGGGTGCTCCAGAAACCAAAAAGGCTGTTTTTCCTAACGAAGAGGGAATAAAACGGGGTCCATGAAAGCCACTCAGGGTCACTAGCAGGACAGGAGGAAGCCTATTTCCCTCAGCACATCCCTGACAAGTGGATCTGAGGGAAATAGGTTTGGAAGACTAAGAAATAAAGAAAGAGTTGAGCTACAGATAGAGATAGAGATGTGAGGGAAAGGGAGAGAGAGAGAAGGATAGTTGGTAGATAAAATAAAGATTCTAGAGCGAGACAGCTAAACCGATTACATTTTACTCTGGACACTAACAGTCATATGATGCAGGAACTTAAAATAAGGCATGAAAAGCTTAAGCAATTTGCCCAAGGTCCTACTAAACTGCAATTCTAATAAGCCAGGCAATCTGACTCCCAAGATTACTTGCTTAGCCACTATGCTTTAGGACTGAGGAAAAGATAGCTCGCAGAGCAGGAATACACTATTATATGACATATTATGGTACTCCTGCTATCAAACTTATCATCATACCAGGCCACAGATAAATGGTGAGGATTTAGAAATAGTGATAGGCTAGTTCTTAAAAAATGTACAGATTGGTAGGATCTAGTAGCCATTAATTAAACAAACAAAATAAAACAAAACAAAAAGCTTTCTTCCTGCGTCCCAATAATTTTAAATAAGGGAACAGGCCAAGACGGTGGCTCACACCTGTAGTGCCAACACTTTGGGAGGCTGAGGTGGGTGGATCGCTTGAGTTCAGGAGTTGGAGACCAGCCTGGGCAACATGGCAAAACCTTGTTTCTACAAAAAATACAAAAAAAAAAAAAAAAAAAAGTAGCTGGGCATGGTGGTCTATACCTGCAAGATTGCCTGAGCCTGGGAGGTGGAGGTTGCAGTGGGCCAAGATCTCACCACTGCACTCCAGCCTGGGCAACAGAGTGAGACCTTGTCTTAAAAAATAAAAAAATAAGGGAACAGATATCAAACCATGAAGTGATGATGCTTTGTTTACCCAGACATCATCAAGACAGTTAAAACTGGACAGTTAAACATTTATCATATTCTATGACAAATGAATACTAACAGATCATGTTTGTTTATTCTAAATCAGTAAACCATGGAGCTGATTTACGTGACTTTTTTTCTTGACATTTTATTATAGAAATTTTCAAATATACAGCAAGTCTAAAATAATTTTTCATCAAACCTCTGGTATACTCAGCACCTAGGTTTCCAATGCTGATTTATCCAGCACAGACCTTGGGAACAGCATGATTGATCCTCAGCTTCATCTCTGAGTCATCTCACTGTGCCCAGCGTGATGCTTGTTATTAGTTGAGTCATTTGGATGGATGCTGACAATTTACTATGCCTTAAGCAGAGAGGTAAGTGATGAGCAACTGATCAAGTACAGAATCCAAAGAAGCAAAACAAAGAATCCTTTGAATGCTGGGCATGTTATTACTAGTAAGCTCTCTATGCATACTTATGATCAACAATCACCTGGTGGTACAAGTTTTGAAAAGAGGTCAAGGTTATAACATTTGCACATCAGGCTAAGATTTCTTAGAACTCTTTTTCTCTCTTACTTTCACTCTTCTCTTGCTTTTAGGTCACACTGGGGAATGGAATGGAATGGAATGGAACTCACATGTTGGATAAAGGGATATTAGCTTACCCATGTGCTGGCCAAGTAATCCCGGTGCACTTGAACTTTTATTCCAATAATACTGTATTAGTCCATTCTGACACTGCTATAAAAAAATGTCTGAGACTGGGTAATTTATAAAGAAAAGAGGTTTAATTGGCTCATGTTTCCACAGGCTGTATAGGAAGCATGGCAGCATCTTCTTGGCTTCTGGGGAGGCCTCAGGAAACTTACAATCATGGTGGAAAGTAAACGGAGAGCCAGCACTTCATATGGCTGGAGCAAAAGGAAGAGAGAGCAGAGGGGAGGTGCCACACGCTCTTAAACAACCAGATCTCACGAGAACTCTGTCATAAGAACAGCATCAAAAGAAGAAATCTGCTCCCACAATTCAATCATCTCCCACCAAGCCCCACCTCCAACACTGGGGATTACAATTTGACATGAGATTTGGGTGGGGACACAGATCCAAACCATATCAAATATTCCCTGCTTGCAGCAGCCATTTGAACATAGAGGCCATATTTATAGACATCTCAACCTCCTCTTTGGAGGTTGACATGATCAACCTCACTGAGATACTTGATATATTGCCAGGATGACACACACTATTGACCACAGTTCTGAGAGCCATTTCCTGTCATTCAGTGTGATTATTGGTTAGGTGTAGATAAGGATTGTTATAAGTTGAATTGTGCCCCCCTCACCAAAAATATGTGTTCAAGTCCTAACCCCTCATTCCTTAGAATGTGGCCTTACTTGGAAATAGAGTCTTTGTAGATTTAAACAAGTTAAGATGAGGCCAATTGAGTGGATTCTAATCCGATATGACTGGTGTCCTTATAAAAAGGGGAAATTGGGATCCAAACACAGACCAGCAGATAAGGAGAATGCCATGGGAAGGTAAAGGCAGAGATCGGGGGATGCATCGGCAATTACCAGAAGCTAGGAGAGGCTTGGAACAGATTCTCCCTTACAGCCTCCGAAGGAACCAACCCAGCTGACACCTCGATCTCAGATTTCTAGCTTCCAGAACTGTGAATCGATACATTTTTCTTGTTTAAACCACCCAATCTGTGGTACTTTTTTGTTGTTGTTACAGCAGCCCTAGCAAACAAATATGGGGATGTTGGCAGGAGCTCGAAGAAAATCACCTTTGAGGATATCATATATGGGGCTAAAAGCAGCAGTGAGGAAAAGAATCAATTAGAGAAAATCTAATTGTACAAATTTCCTTACAACTGATGAACCAGCATTCTCAAGATCATGTTTAGAATGAAAAATATTAAAAATATATTTTAAAGTGAGTTTTAGAGACCATATGTAATAAGTGTTTTGTTTTGTTTTTAACCTCTTTAGCATTTGAATGTGGCTTATTTCTGTTTTAGCTGAACAGGTGAATATGTAGTGTTTTCTCATAAGGATAAAAGACTAAGTCCCGTGAAGTACAGATGTGTAATGGGCAAGTAGATCTGAGTAAGACATTCTGCATTCTTCCAGCTCAGCATTGTCACTGTTTCTTTCTTATGTACACATTAGCATTAGCGGGAAGCAAGGTGCTAGACGTTTTAAAATAGATAATTCTTCATCAAAAAGCTTCAGATTATAGTAGAATTGAATTTCCAGATTTTCCTACCTCTGCACCTAGAAATCAGGTAAAACAGAACAATTCTAATGGCTGGTGCTTCAGAACTGGAAGGCCCTGAGGTCTTTAGTTACTACCAACTATTACAGAGGAATCAGAGTCCCGCTAGAATGGCCCAGATAGTTCAGGTTCTTTCTTCATTCTTTTGGCTAAAACTGTATTTGCTGTTTAGTCTCTGTCCCCCTCCTATGTCCTGTGTGCCCCAGCCGTTAAATACTGGAACTTCATTCAAAGTCATCTAGCTCATGAAACAGCTCTAATTCCACAGGATGCCCTAAGATAACCAGATTTTGACTGTGGAGAGCCAGTAGTGGAGCCAGGAGCAGGTTACTACCGGCGCTAATGTTGTCCTAGCAGCCATCACAAAGAGGATGTGTCCTGGGAGAGTCAGAGCCAGTCCTGAGAGCCAAGACTGTATCACACACATTAAGGGAGACACTCCTGCAAACCCCTTCATCCCCGGATGTTACATAAACTGTGTCTGAATTTGCTGAGCTTCTGTTGAGTTTTCTACAACAGTGAAGAAAATTTCAGTAATTGATAATTGATACTTTCAATGATTATTTGCCTTTTTTTTTTTTTTTTTTTGGAAGACAGGGTCTCTCGCTCTGTTGCCCAGGCTAGAGTGCAGTGGTCCAATCACAACTGACTGTAACCTCAGGCAATCCTCTCACCTCAGCCTCCTGAGCAGCTAGGGCTACAGGTGCATGCTAGCATGCCTGGTCAACATTTTTAATTTTTTTTTTTTTTTTTTTTTAGAGACGGGATCTCACTATGTTGCCCAGGCTAGTCTTGAACTCCTGACCTCAAGCAATTCTCCCTCCTTGGCCTTCCAAAGTGCTGGAACTATAGGTGTGAGCCACTGTACCCAAACTGTGCCTATTTTGAGTGAATATAAAATTATATTTCATGGCTGGGCTCGGTGGTTCATGCCTGTAATCCCAGCACTTTGGGAAGTTAAGGCAGGCAGATCACTTGGGGTCAGGAGTTTGAGACCAGCCTGGCCAACATGGAAACCCCATCTCTAGTAAAATAGAAAAGTTAGCTGGGTGTGGTGGTGTGCACCTATAATCCCAGCTACTCGGGAGGCTGAGGCACAAGAATTGCTTGAACCTGGGAGACAGAGGTTGCAGTGAGCAGAGGTTGCACCACCACACTCCAGCCTAGGTAACATAGCAAGACTCCCTCTAAATAAATATATATATATATGTTTTATTTATGTGTGTGTATGCACATATTTTATCTTTAAAAATAAAAATAAGCTCAACATTTTGCTTTTGATTGTCATGTGATTATTACCAACAGATATTTACTAAGCCATGTGCTCAGCACAAGCCTAGGTATGGTGGAAGATACAAAAGAAAACTAAAGAACAATCTCTGCCCCAGAAGGGTATTCACACTAATTGATTAGACAAAATGAATTATCTTGTCACACTCAAAGTCAAATTATTGCCAGAAGCTATGACAAGTACTGTATAGAAGTATTTAGCTATAGGTAGACTGGAAGCCAAAAGAAAGAAGTTGGCTTGACTTCAACAGAGGGTACGAGTTCTACCCAGGACATCACATGTGAGCTGTCTTAAAAGAGAAAATTATAAAGATAGGCTGAAGGAATATTACATTGTGCAGAATATGGAAATGAAGACATGGAAATGAGACTGGGCACCGTCTGTGCTGGGAGGATTAATCTATCAGATCTGAGAAGGCTCCAGATCTGGATGGAGGCAAGAGGGAACAGGTGTCTCACAGACAGACGTTTGTCTCTTTCTTTTATTCTTCACATTCTTTGTTTCCTTCAACAAATACGATTGAAGGCTTGTTAAGTGCCTGGCACTTTTCTAGGTACTGGGGATAGGAGACAACATCTTCTCTCTTACAGCCTACGTTCTGGCCAGGTACACAAGCAAATATATAATGTTAGACAGTGGTAAATGCTACGAAGAAGTTAATCAGGTTAAGGTGATGGAAATAGGATCTGCTCTTTTATGGACAGGATAGTGAGAAATGGCCCCTCAAAAGAAGAGATGTTCAGTGAGAAGAAAATGAGGAAGCAAAGATAGTCAAGAATCTAAAGGAAGCCGGGCGCGGTGGCTCACGCCTGTAATCCCAGCACTTTGGGAGGCCAAGGCAGGCAGATCACAAGGTCAGGAGATCGAGACCACGGTGAAACCCCGTCTCTACTAAAAATACAAAAAATTAGCCGGGCGTGGTGGCGGGCGCCTGTAGTCCCAGCTACTCGGGAGACTGAGGCAGGAGAATGGCGTGAACCCGGGAGGCGGAGCTTGCAGTGAGCCAAGATCCCGCCACTGCACTCCAGCCTGGGTGACAGAGCAAGACTCCGTCTCGGAAAAAAAAAAAAAAAAAGAATCTAAAGAAAAAGTATGTTAGTCAGGGGAAATAATATAGAAAAAGAACATAATATAGAAGAGAACTTCTGTGTTTAGGGAACAATAGCAAGTCCAGTGTAACTAGAGTTGAGTGAGCCGGACAGAGGAGGTAAGAGATGAAGTCAGAGAAACTGACAGGGGCCTGATCATGCAGGAGTTTGGAATTTTTTCTGAGTATGATGTGAAACCATTAGAGGGTGTTATTTGTTTCACAAGCTTATTTTTATTTTTGTTGAGACGGAGTTTTGCTCTTGTTACCCAGACTGAAGTGCAATGGCACAATCTCGGCTCACTGCAACCTCCGCCTTCCAGGTTCAAGCGATTCTCCTACCTCAGCCTCCCCAGTAGCTTAGCTGGGATTACAAGCACCCGTCATCGTGCCTGACTAATTTTTGTATTTTTAGTAGAGATGGAGTTTCACCATGTTGATCAGGCTGGTCTCGTACTACTGACCTCAAATGATCCACCCGCCTCGGCCTCCCAAAGTGCTGGGATTACAGGCATGAGCCACCGTGCCTGGCCTGTTTTACAATTTTAAAAAGATTGCTCTAGCTGCTTATCCAAATAATTTATTTCAAGTTACAAGATATCAGTCTGGAGGTGTTTTTCAATATTCTGGGTGAGAGGTGATGGATTCTGGCACTAGGGTAGCAGAGGTGTAGGTGGTTGACTGAAGTCAAGGTAATTTAAAAAGTCAACAGGAGTTGTTTATAAATTAGATGAGGAGCGTGATGAGGAAAAGACAAGAGTCAAGGATAACAACTAAGTTTGCGGCTGAGCAACTAGGTGAATAGTGGTGGCATTTACTGAAATGGGAAAGCCTGGAGGAGAAGCAGACCCAAGATAATGGAATTAGGGTTTATTTTGGAAAGAAAGGCTCTAGAAGCTTTCCTGTATTCATGGAAAACTCCACCCAAGATGCATCTAAAAGGACCAGCACTAGCAAACAGACAGGCTACCCCAAGAGACTGGAACCACGTCCCAAAACTTTCAAGTCTTCTCATTAGCTCCTCCAAGCTTTTTATTTTTTGCTGCTTCTAAATTGCTAAATGTGGGTAATTATTTGCGAAAGTTAAAGTGCATCCCAAGAATAAGAATTACTACTCCCTACACCAAACTCTGAACTACTCATCCATTGGACTATAAACTACATTACCTAAGCATGAGGTTTATACTGAGTAATCTACAAAACAGTAGAGTCTATTCTTTACAGACTCTCATATGCATTTATCTTATTTAATCATCACAAGAATCCAGTGTGAATAGACAGATGGAGAAACTGAGGTCAGGGAGTTAAGTCACTTTCTCAAATTCACATAGACCCACAGGTAGATATCCTGTGGAGCTAATGAAAGTTAAACATCAGGACTGTCTTCTTGCATGGGCTTCTTCTAAGATCCTGGAAACGGAAGAGGCCCACCAATGTGTTCATATTGTCATAAGTTTCTATAAAACCTGAAAGAGTGAGACATTCTATTCTCAATTTATGATTAAATCACAATTGGTAAATATTACTTTCCTTTCTACTCCAATTTCCCCCTCATCAGATTTCTCTTCATGTTGGTGGCCTTGAGAATTTTAAGGATCCAGCCAATTAAGTGTTAATTTGAAGGTAATGTAGTTTTATAAGATCCATTTAAGTGGCCCAAAGTCACTTATATGTATCGTTACAAAAGTGTAAGCCTTTCTTGTATAGGGCTGGCTTTGAAGATTGTACTTCCCAACACTCTATCCACTCTGACCCTTTCTGTGCCAACTCCTCTGGCTTCTACTCAAGACTGTAGGGCTACAGGTAGTCCTATAGCATCTGGCACCAGAAATGTAAGGATATGGGTAGTGGGAAAGAAACAAGGTTTTACTGACTTTTCATTCCATGCCATTTCCTGTAAAAACAAAAACAAAAACAAAAACAAACACACACACACACACACACATTACCAAATCGTTATCTTCTGAAGAGGCATTGAGGAGTATGCAGCCAAAAATGTCAGGAAAGAGAATTATAGAAGTGTGTCACTGGGCGCAGTGGTTCATGCCTGTAATTCCAGCACTTTGGGAGGCTGAGGTGGGTGGCTCACTTGAGGTCAGGAGTTCAAAACCAGCCTGGCCAACATGGTGAAACCCTGTCTCTACTAAAAATACAAAAATTAGCAGGCTGTGGTGGCACATACTTGTAATCCCAGCTACTCGGGAGGCTGAGGTGGGAGGATTGCTTGAATCCAGGAGGCAGAGGTTGCAGTGAGCCGAGATAGCACTACTGCATTCTAGCCTGG